GGCCGGGGTGATGGAGTGTGGCCGGGGTTACGGTCAGAGGCCGATTGGCCGGCTTGGCGAGAATTGGGCGATGGGGTAGCCGAATCGGAATCCGAGACAATCATGGCGGCGAGAGAAGGAACTGACCTGGACAGGAAGAAGAACGAGTCGGGTGAGCAGCGGAGTTGCAGACGAACGGTAGTGAAGAAGGCGAAAGGAAGAGATGGCGTCCAGCGGCGGTTTTTAACTGACAACAGGAAGGCGAATCGGCAGGCCATGATTACTTATTTGTGGAGATCGTGCCCAAGTGTCGTGCGGAACCCAAGGAACGGCCCGGATCCCCGCTGGAGCGTCCACGTGGACTTTGCGAACTCCCCACTCCTTCGCTTGGCCTAGCTGAGGACTGAGGAGTTGGGGGGCTTATGATGGGCCGATATCCAGAGGACGGCCCAAATGAACCATTTAAACAGCTTCGGGTCAAGCACCTGTGAAATACTCAAGCTGGGCCGGCCCAAGGAGCTGGGCCTAGTTAACCTCAGGCCAAGCGCAGCTGGAAGAGTAAGTCCGGAGAAGGAGACGGAGCGGATTGGCCGTTACGGAGCCGGAAAAAGGGGATTGCGCCCTTGGCGGGCTAAACTCCATCGGTTATGCTTCACCTTAATTGTTGGGAGCTCGTGTATAAATAGAAGGGACCCGAAAGGGGAGAACTCAAGCTAAATCAAGCTAGTAATACACATCCAATTCTCGAATTCTTGTTCTTAATTTTGTTCTTGCGATCCGCTCTGTAAATCGGATCATTTGGTGGATTTATTGTCCATCAAAATATATGATACTCCACCACCACCATCTTCATCATTATCATCATGTTCAACCATCATCACCATCATCTCATCTCTCCCCTCTCCATTCTCTCTCTGTCTGCCAAACCAAAGGAAAAGAAAAGAAAGTTCATCTCCATAGTTGGTTCAAGGAAGAAGAAGAAGAAGCAAGAAAACCATCCAAAGTTCTAAAATCCTGAGTTCAAACACAGCAGCCCACTTCTAGGTAAAAACTGAAATTTTCCATCCATTATCTCGAAATACTTCTTGAACCAAAGTTGTAGCCACTGACGATACGAATCCAGCCCAACAAACGGCTCGCGATTTCGTTGAGTAACGAAGAAGATATGGCCAAAATACCGGGACTGCGCCAGTGGTGGCGAGCTCCTCGGGTTGGACCATTTTCTTCACCAAATTCATATTGTTTCATTCCAAGAATTTACCATAAACTCTCTAACACTTATTAGGAACATCCGGAAGGTATCGTAGAGAAGGTTCGGCGTTAGCATATTGAAGTTAGTGAGTTAATCGTCGGAATCATGTTCATCGACATACCCGAAATTCTGGACAGCAACTATCCCTTGACTTCAGGTCCGATTTACGCTATCTTACATATGTTAAAACGAAATACTTTCTATACGAAAGTTGTAGCCTTACATCTTAGGAATCCACAGAATCAAACGGTTTGAAATTCCGTGAAGAAACAATGGAGATATGCCCAAATTACCGCAGGCTGTCCAGTTGTGACGGAAATGACAAAGTTGGTGAATTTCGATGTTGTTTCCACTCCCGCTCATCCGTAAGGTTTCGGCCGATGATTTCCAGGTCTGTACCTTTGCGTTAGACTTGTCGAATCATTCATCACATACATACATGAACATATATATATTAATCCATATGTTGAAATCATTCCGAAATATATATATGTCATCTATGTGTTAAGACCAAAAAACACCAAATTCATAAAGTTAATAGATATACCTAAGTATATATAAACATTTGAAATCAACCCAACAACATGTATATGTTAATCAAAGGTGTTTAAAAGACTTAAAGAAGTATTTTGAACACTCAAAATATCAAGAGAAAGATTCGCGGACCCAAACGGTCGACAAAAACGGTCGACCGTCGTATTAAACTTTGAAACGGACCACGACTGCCAGTAGAACGGTCGACCGCCGTCGGCGAACGGTCGACCGCTGCCAGCCAGCCGAAGTCCGCCATCCGCAGCCAGTCAACAACGGTCGACCGCCGGTCCACCACGGTCGACCGTCACGGTGATCTGCCGTTCCAACGAAGTGAAGATCAAGGTCGACCGCCGTGCCAAACGGTCGACCGTTCCGAGCTGAGTAGCTTGATTAAATGATATTTTAATCATGTTTCATCCAAATAAACTAATGCATGATTATATATTCACATAAACTAATGCAAGATTATAAACTAATGCATGATTATATATTCATATTGTTTGCAAATTGTTCACATCATGTCATTCATTTCATCATTTATATTGAAGCATATCACATCATGCGCATGCGTAAGAGATCATGCGTAATTGCGTCTCTTATAGCGTGGTTGTGCGGGACTTAGTAGTCTGACAACCCTGACCGGGCTTAGTGTACGTACATGGTATTCAACTTTCGAGTACCATCCCTATTTTTCTAGTCTCCCTCGTGAGACTAAGAAGGACATGAGTTCGTCGTACCAAATGGGCGAATCTCATAGTTGCAAGGTCATTCCTTGTTGACTTAGAATCATACAGCATGAAGTCATCATCAAGTAAAATCATCATGACTATGCGTAACATCAATTACGCATCATGTAATCCTCATCAAGAACAATTATATTGATTACATAGGCGTCATGTAATCATGCAATTATCATTAAATATTTATCATCATGATTCATCAAATTGACCATATGATATAAAGTGTCATATCAGGAATATTGTTATACATTTTTGTGGACATATATATACGTATATGTCTATGAATTATTCTACAATTCTAGCGTGGTACCACTCAGCGGTTTCGCTGAGCATGTAGTTTGTATTTTTCGTTGACTACACGTAGGTAACAAGAAGACAATGATGGAACCTTTCCTGGAGGGCATTGAGTCAGAGGAGATGCAAGGATGGCAGGCATACAAACCAGTTGTCTAAAATTTTACACAGTACTAAACTAATAATAACATGAAGGCGTAATGAGACTTTTATAAAAATTTACCCAGCGCTAGGTCTCAGACATTTAAATTATAAAAATTCATTAACAGTATAAGTTTACAGTTCACTTTAAAAATAAATACTCTCGTTTCACCTTAATTCGTGTAATTCCGGGTTATACTGATTGGGGTGTTACAAACGTACTTACGGGATCCATAAACCAAACTAGAGGAACTCGTTGGGGATACCACCCAACCCGACACTTAGTATTCAGCTGTTCGGTTTTCTGGACTTGTACCTTAAGCGAAGGCTAGTTTAAGAGTTGGTAAATTAATCAGAAAATATGCACCTTAAACTAAGGACCTAGCTTAAGAGTTGGTTAGAAGTACCTTAAACTAGAATGAAGTTTAAGAGTTGGTAAATATCACAAAGATTGGCCTTAGACTAAGCATAGTTTAAGGATATTGCAGATTATTGAAATATTGAAATAAAAATATTGAGAATATCATGAACGACTTATATAATGTGTGCATGATATCAAATGACTGTTTGTGAATTGAGATTCAATTTATGTGGATGTTCGGCGCTTTAGATATGCTTACTCAGCTTCACCGCTGAGCATGTAGTGTGTTTTATTTGCTACACGCAGGCAGGCAGAATGAGTGATTGGCATGATCCTGGCAGCGGAAGGGGCAGGACTGTCGTGGTGGAAATAGTGATTTTTAAATGAATAATTATGTTGTTATTAAATATGTTTTAAATTGCTTCCACACTATTATTAAACACTCCGTATTTTGCTACAATTATGTATTTAATAATATTTATGATGAATAAAAGTATTTAAAATGTTTTAAATTTTACGATTTCCAAGTTAATACTTTAGTCCGAAAGGGGCTGCAGACCTGTACGGATTAGGGTGTTACATATCTTCTCTAGAACTTCTGGGATAATCCCGAATCAGATGGTACCAAATTCATTCGGGGTATGTAAAATTTTTTCCAAACTCAATTTCCCAAAACCACAATTACATTGATAATATCTTTTGTAGCTCTTTAACAATCAATCTTCTACCTTACACAATCTAGATGTTTGGATAATATTCGTCAATAACATAATTCGTACCCTTTTTAAAAAAAAGTTTGTGGTTTTGGATCCGCGAACATTTTATTTCATTAAAAAACTTACTGTTATATCCAATTGTCTTCAACACCTACATCTGAATATGCTTCGCATGAGGAATCTGAACATAAGTACTCTTTATCACCTCTTGGAATACGGGATTGGACAACTTCGTTTACCATTCAACAACCTCAAGTGTGGGTTCCAATAGTGCACTATTCTAAAAAAAGATTAATCTATACTATTCTTAAAAGCAGGGGAAATTTTTCCTGCCCAAACGCACCTACGTTGTGAACTGTCTATTAGCGCCAGAATCTTGATCTACAACCATTATTCATCTTTGGAAAGTTTCCATGTATAATTGTGCTTAATAATTAATACGGAGTAATGTTTACATGTGTAATGATTAATAATAATTGTGCATATGACGTATTATATTGGGGAATATTTAATAATATATTAAGTTTCCGTGTTTAATAATATTGAAATAGAACGCTCATCTATACTATTCTTAAAAGCATGGGAAATTTTTCCTGCCCAAACGCACCTACGTTGTGAACTGTCTATTAGCGCCAGAATCTTGATCTACGGCCATTATTCATCTTTGGAACGTTTCCATGTATAATTGTGCTTAATAATTAATACGGAGTAATGTTTACATGTGTAATGATTAATAATAATTGTGCATATGACGTATTATATTAGGGAATATTTAATAATATATCAAGTTTCCGTGTTTAATAATATTGAAATAGAACGCTCACGCGTTTAATAATTTATAATTATTAAACGGTTGAATATTTTTATATAAATATATTATTTTTGTTACGCATGTATTACGTTGAAATAACAATAAAAATACTAAGCTAAAAAAGTAAAAATGGAAATAGTTTTGAAATAGCGTTTATTTTTAGGAAACTTTTTTACACTATTGCCCAATATATCTTTTATATAATGTCAATTTAATTATGGAAAGGTTTTAATAGATTTTAAAAATTTTACGCTTAGCTTTCAATCTTATGGTACCTTTTATAGAGATAATTAATTTCACTTACGGCACATTATTACCTTTAAAAGAGGAAATAAATTTTTATTACTTTTTATGAAAATTTTGGTTATAAACTAAAATATAAATTATTAAAATAAATATAAATAATGTTAATATTTAATCTTTGATGTTAATTTTTTTGACTCTCAACTAAATTTGCACGCCGCAATTGACGTGGTTAGGGGATGAGTTGGGGTCGGAACCGGGTGGGGGTCTACCGGGGGGCTAGAGGGGTTAGAAACTATCAATTGGGTGAGTGGCTTCCGTAGGTGTCCCAATTGAGTGGGTGGCTTCCGTAGCCACTCTTTTTGAGTGGCTCTAGAACCCAGCCGTTGATATAATTACGTTATATTAATATTCCATCCGTTCGGAAATGATTTTCTCATTTGACTTTTCGCGGTCTCCAATTTATACTTTTACCATTAATATTTACATTTATACATAGATATATTTTATGTAAATTTAATATTTCAAAACTACGTTTCATAAGTAAACTATTGATATTATATTTATATCGAAATACAATGTATTTTTTCCACACATCAAGGTCAAAGTTTACAAACTTTGACCAATAAAAATCATGGAAAGATCATTTCAGGAGGGAGGGAGTACCTTTTATGGAAATATATTATTTTTGGAAGAAATACATTATTACCTAGCCTTTTCGTCGAAATACTAATAAAAATACTAAAATAAAAATGGTAAGAATATAAATAATTAAACAAAGATGAGTGCATTTTATGTACCATACATTATTATTACTTTTTCATTGAAATAGTAATAAAAACAATAAAATAAAAATGGTAATAAATTTTTTTATTATATCACTTCCAATTTTGTAAAATTCGGGTACTAAATAGAAGTTTATATAAATAAATTATTTTATATTTTGTTTCCTTTTCGGAAACTGTTTACATATTTACGTTACATTATTACCTTTTATGGAAATATATTATTTTTGGATGAAATAATTATTACCTTTTCGTCGAAATAGTAATGAAAATGGTAAAATAAAAATGTTAAGAATATAAAAAATTATAGAAAGATGAGTGTGTTTGATGTACCATACAATAATAACAATAATAAATGTGTTTGGTGCCATTAATTATGGTATACTGCAAAATAGATGTCATTACTAAAAAGTTTTCATTTGTTAAAGGACTAGGTTTGTTCTGATAAAATTATAAATTATAAAAAAAGAGACATCATTAATGATAGTGTGTCCCAAAATTATACTTATTATTATGAAAGGATTGACAAGGCTTATTGATACATTTCCCAAAAGAAGTCAAAGTATTTTTTTAATAAGTTGGTAATTTGTGTAATAATAATGACAAACGTAGAAGATAATTATACCTTATTTTGGTTAGAAGAATATAAAAAATATATATAAGTGTGAGATAATGTATGGTAAGTGTTGAATTTATAAATGGCAATTTGTCTTCTATTTGGTTAATTAACAACGGTTACTTGCACATGCTTATATGGTAATAATAATAATAACAACAACAACAAAAACAACAACAACAACAACAACAACAACAATAATAATAATAATAATAATAATAATAAATGTGAATGGTGCCATTAATTATAGTGTACCCCAAAATAGTGGCATGAATATTTAAAAAGTTTCCATTTATTACAGGGCTAGGTTTGTTCCAAAAATTATAAATTCTAACAAAAATTGACGCCATTAAATAGAAAAAGGAACAAAATTTTCATACTATAACTACGGTCATTTTCAATCACTTTCGTAATTAGCCTCTCTAATTTTTTTTATGTTTTTAAATAATATTCCTTTATTTTTATGTGGTATATAAATCTCTCCATTTTATTATTAGTTCGACAAGAAAAATGGTAAAAACCCATTAAATATGAACAAAATTTGTGGCCAAAATTTTGATTTGACTTATTTATATTTTTAAAACTATAAATATAAATTTAAGATTTAATTGCAGAAAGGATATTATTAGATAATTGGTGATGTGGTTGACATTGAAAATACCAACGAATGATGTTATCTTGGTTCCAGGTTTAAGTGCAAAAACTATGACAGAGATTATCCTAAAGGAGTGTATATGTTAAATATTGTAATTAAATAATTTTTAATTACTTTGTACCTGAAAATAATAAAATCTATATATTCTATTAGATATTAATTTGTATTTTTCAAAAATGATCTTAATCTAATAACGTAAATATGACCCGTGCAACGCACGGGTGTGGTACTAGGTTTTCATGTTCTCAAAGAGATTTGGATAAGTGAATTCTACTATACTCTTGAGTGGGTACTTGTGTCAAGTATCAAGAATCTAGACGGGATTTCAACGTTAATAATTCCATCAATCACTTGTCCAAACATTCCATCTTTGACTTTGATTATCCAATAAAAAAAGCTTATGTGTCCTATTTGTGCAAGAGGGTGTGCCATCTCATATTCTTGGTCAATGTATAACTTTACAATATAATCATATTTTTGAAGAATTGGCGGTAGCACCTACAATTTCCTCTCTCAAAGCTTCGAGTAAAATTGAAAGATTACGGATAAAATCACCTCCCAATACAATAATTTTCCCTCTGAATGATTCATTCATGGAGTTATTATTAGTGAACCTCATTACATCTCTCATTATGCAACCCAATATATCAAAAGCAAATCTACTCGTCGTAGATGATTCATCCCATATGATTATACTTGCTTGTTGGATTAGTTCTTGTTTGATGGCAGAGGATGAACACTT